TTTAAAAAATTGTAAAAAAATGTTAAAGAAATGTTTCTAATGATTGTTGTGCACGTTTAAAATCTCATAACCTATCCTTATCTGTATGTATTGTGTTTCAACTGTTTCTCGCCTACTTCTAGTAATCTGAATAACCTTCAAGTTTGTAAACTTAAGGCTCCATGTACACTGCAGCTGATAAACTGACGTTTAGGAGCTTTTCTGTGTTTTTTCAGCAGTCCCTGAACTCTCCCTAATGTTTTCCTATGTGTCCATGTACAGTATGTCATTTACAGTCATTTACAGGCAGTTGAGTTTATAGTAATTTTTTTGAACGCAGCAAAATTGCGTTCAGGAGAAGATTTTACCGGCGTTTCAAATGCCTAACACTTGTAAACACGTGTAAACGCTTGTAAATGCGGTTAACCGTGTTTATAAGCGTTTGAGTTTAGAAGCGTTTTTGACTGGTCCATATCTAGGGCACAATTCACTAAGCGGTATCCTACCGCATCCAAGTAGGATACCGCATAGCATTTAAAAAAAAAAAAAAAAACCATTTGAATCCACTAAAAAGTCATGCAGAATTTTAGTAGTGAAAAGCATGCATCATATTTCAGCTGTCAGCGGGGTTCCCACTGGCAGCTGAATGTAAGAATTATATTTATATTATCCTCCTGCACTCAGAATGTCAACCTCTAAATATAGCCGCTAACACCCTACCACATACATTCAACATGAATGTAAGAATTGCCAGCAATTAAAAAATAATTTTGAAAAAATGGCTTGTATGGATTTAGAGGGGAAGCCCCACGCCAAAATTTAAAAAAAAATGGCGTGGGGTTCCCCCCAAAATCCATATTAGACCCTTATCCAAGCATGCAGCCCGGCAGGTCAGGAAGGGGGGGTGGGCGAGCGCCCCCCCCGAACCATACCAGGCCACATGCCCTCAACATGGGGGGGTGCTTTGGGGTAGGGTGAGCTCCAATCCAAAGCACCTTGTCCCTTTGTTGATGGAGACAAGTGCCTCTTCCCCACAACCCTGGCCGTTGGTTGTGGGGATCTGTGGGTGGGGGGGCTTATCAGAATGTGGAAGCCCCCTTTAGCAAGGGGGCCACCAGATCCCGCCCCCCCCACATGAATGAGTATGGGGTACATGGTACCGCTTCCCACTCACAAAAAAAAGCTGTAATGTGAAAAAATACAGGAGTCATTCTTTGACAAGTCCTTTAATAAAAGAATGTCCCCAAAGTAGATCCAATGTCAATTACGATCCCCACTGCTCCCGCTCTGGAAAAAAAAAAAAAAAAAAGGCTCCGCTTCTGACACTGGCCTCCGGCCCTTTGCCTCTGAGCTGGTTTGACAGTTCTTTAACCTCCTTGGCGGTTTGACAGTGCTGAAAGCTTTACCATTTTTTCGCATGGAAATAGTTTTTTATTGTAGGCTGTAATTTTTAGGAAAATTTCCCCACAAATCATTATCACTCAATTCTGTAAGTGGTTCTGATTTACTATCGCTGTTGTGGGTCTAAAACCGCTTTTGACGTAAAGGGACGGGACCCATGGACTTTTCTCCAGGCAGAAAGAACAGACAAAATGCAGGCAGGGCGCCGGACAAGCACTAGGGGTATGTGAAATGGGATGAAACAAATGTTTTACTATTTAAAATTGAAAAAAAAAAAAATTTTTTTAAATTTTTAAATTTCCCGCCGCCGGGGGCCCGTACGTCCCGACGTCACGGGAACCGGAACACAGAAGCCGGATGCCCATCCCGGAGGAGATGGCCGGGGACGCTGCAGGGGACACATCGCGGGAGCGAAGGACAAGGTAAGTGCCCCCCCATCAGTGCCGCATGGTAAGCCCGAGTGTAGCACCGCTGTGGTATAGAAATTCCTGGGAAAACCGCCAGGGAGGTTAATATGATTCCCCACAACCACAGCTCAGGTTTGGGGGGAAGAGGCCCTTCTCCCCATCAACATGGGGACAAGGTGCTTTGGGGGGGGAGCTCCCCCTACCCCAAAGCACCCCCCCATGTTGAGGGCATGTGGCCTGGTATGGTTCTGGGGGGAGCACTCGCTCTCGCTTGCCCCCCCCCATTTCCTGACCTGCCGGGCTGCATGCTCGGATAAGGGTCTGGTATGGATTTTGGGGGAAATCCCACGCCATTTTTCTTAAAATTTGGCATGGGGCTTCCCCTCAAAATCCATACCAGACCCAAAGGGCTTGGGGACCCCATGTCGTTTTTTAATTATTTTTTAATTGCTGGTAATTCTTTCTTTTACATTCAGCTGTCAGTGGGAATCCCGTTGACAGCTGAAACATTAATGCATGCTTTTCACTACTAAAATACCGCATGACTTGATAAAATAACTCATGCGATATTTTAGTAGCCTTTTTTAGTGAATTTACTATTTTTCAGTACATTCTGGCCATTTGAGAGGGTCTCCTGAGGTTATCTTTTAAAAACGCTTCTAAATGCAAACGTGCATAAACGCGGCATGCAAACGCGGCTAAACTGAAGTGTTTTAACCTATGTTTTCTAGCAGTCAGTTTCCATTGTTCAGAAGAGGTTTCCAAACGCCCCGTGTACATGAGCCCTTACTTTGTAAGTACTACTGTGGCACACATTTCACAGAGCCTGCCTAACTAAAGGGCCGCTAAGAGGAGGAGTTTCAGGAGGCGGAGTCAGTACAGGAATCACTGCTTGCAGGAAGCAAGGTACCATGGGATATGTACAGAATAAAAAGAGGAAGCTATGAAAGTGATGGCCACTTGAAGGAGAGCTTTCAAGTAAGCCTATATTGGATTTCCAAAAATAACCATTGTTTGTATTGTTATTACAAAGCTGATGTTATAAAATTAAAGAGTATACTGTGAGCATAGTACTACTTTAACTAGGTTTAAGGTTTTCACAGGTAATCTGTGCTTGTGTGTGTTTTTTCACCTATATTCAGATGAAAATGCCCAAAAGTTAAAAAATCAATGGCTCAATGAGCAATATTCAATAATACTTACTGCCTAGCTTCGACATAGCGATAATTTCTGTTGAGAGCTTCAAGTTCCTTCATGTCTTCTGAAGGCAAATTGAAGTCAAACACCTGTAAAAATGACAGATTATTATAATTTGCTGGCTTTTTAAATAAGGTACCTGCCAGTGTCGGGAGTCTACAGTAGTTCTGTCTTCTGCAGGCAGTTCTTCCTAAAACTTTGCCGTTATCAGTAACAGATTCTGCTGCTAACCCCAAAATAAAAAGTTAAAAAAGGCCCTAGTAAAATTATATTGAAATAAAATATGACATGGATTCCCAATGCTGCCATATTGGATATACAGTGGAGAAAATAATTATTTAATCCCCCGCAGATTTTGTAAATTTGCCCACTTACAAAGAAATGAAGGGTCTATAATTTTTATCATAGGTGTATTTTAAATGATAGAGACAGAATATCAACCAAAAATCCAGAAAAAAAACAAACAATACAAATGTTATAAATTGAGTTGTAGTTCAGTGAGTAAAATAGGTATTTGATCCCCTACCAACCAACAATAATTCTGGCTCCCACAGACTGGCTATGTGCTCATGTGGTACACAGATTAGTCCTGTCAATTTAAGAAGGTGCTTCTAATGACAACTTGTTATGTGTATGTAGCGCTACTCTTGTGAGGGTCGCTGTGTTTTGGGTATCCCTAAGCCTCTCTCTGCACAGCTAGGCAACAGGTATTTCTTGCACCAACTTGCATCCAAAGACAATGACCAGTCCTTGGCTTGATTTTGTTATTTTATTAGGGGAAATCAACTTGGATGGGGAATAGGGATTATTGGATGCCCAGTTTGACTTTAAACAATGGAATGGGAACACCTCCTCCCTATGTACAAAGGCAGATGCTGGTCTGGAGCTCCATGCAAAATTTCACCTCTTGGCTTAAGGATGATCATGAGAAAAGTGAGAGATCAGCCCAGAACTACATGGAAGGAGCTTGTGAATGATCTAAAGGCAGTTGGGTCCACAGCCACCAAACAAACCATTGGTAACACAATATGCTATCATGGATTGAAATCCTGCTACGCCCCAAAGGTCCCAATCCTCAAGAAGACCCATGTACAGCACCATCTGAAGTTGCCAATGAACATCTAAAAGATTCAGAGAAGGATTGGGAGAAAGTGCTGTGGTCAGATGAGACCAAAATTGAGCTATTTGGCATTAACTCGACTTGCCATGTTTGGAGGAAGAAAAATGCTTTGGGGCTGTTTCGCTGCTAAACATACAGGTCAACTTTGCCACATTGAGAGGCCAGTGGAAGGAGCCATGTATTGTAAAATCATGGATGAGAACCTTCTTCCCTCAGCCAGAACACTGAAGATGGGTTGTGGATGGGTCTTCCAGCATGGCATGACAAAACATACTGCGAAGGCAACAAGGGAGTGGCTCAAGAAGAAGCACATTAAATAAGAACTCCGGGATAGGTAAAAAAAAATCACCCATTAGTACACCCCCCTACACAAAACACTAAACAGTTAATACATTTGTGAAATTCCTTACCAATGAAGAGAAAAGTCAAACTGCATTTTCAGGAAGTCATCTCTGTAATTCAAAAGATAACAGCATCTGTTCTGCCAAGGAGGAAGTGTAACATCAGGGATTACATCATAGCCTTTCCTCTCAGGAAACTACACTTCCCATCAACCTCTGGGAATTGCAGTGAATGTAGGCGGATACACTAGGCCTGTACATGCTGAATGAGTGCTCACCCACTTCAATGTAAATCACGCCTCCTCATTCTCCAGTCACACTGCTCAGCACCCCAGCAGTACAGTTAGCAGACGATCTCATAAATGTAATGAATGGATGTGCAAAATGTTTACCGTATTTGCCGGCGTATAAGACGACTTTTCAACCCCTGAAAATCTTCTGAAAAGTCGGGGGTCGTCTTATACGCCGGTATACGGCGAGCCGGTGTGTCAGGGCGGCACTTTTTCCAGGGGCGGTGTCCTCCAACGGACACTAAGTACAGGGGTGGGCAGAGGGGCTGCTGTACCTTACCTGGCTCCGATCCCGGTCCCACGACGATCCGGTCCAGGAAGCGCGGCTGCTCCTTCTTTCAGTTCGGCAGCTCGATGGTCATTAGTGTCAGTGGGAGGAGGAATAGTGCCCCATCGTTAGTGTCAATGGGGGAGAGGAGCGGCTGCTCCTTCTTTCAGTTCGGCAGCTTGATTTTCGCGGGGCCGTTCGGCTCCGCCTCCTCACCGGTGATTGGGCGCCAGCGCACACAGGCGACCAATCACCGGCGAGGAGGCGGAGCCGAACGGCCCCGCGAAAATCAAGCTGCCGAACTGAAAGAAGGAGCAGCCGCTCCTCTCCCCCACTGACACTAACGATGGGGCACTATTCCTCCTCCACACTGACACCAATGATGGGGCACTATTCCTCCTCCCCACTGACACCAATGATGGGGCACTATTCCTCCCCCACTGACACCAATGATGGGGCACTATTCCTCCCCCACTGACACCAATGATGGGGCACTATTCCTCCCACTGATACCAATGATGGGGCACTATTCTCCCCACTGACACCAATGATGGGGCACTATTCCTCCCCCACTGACACCAACCATGGGACACTATTCCTCCTCCCCACTGACACCAACGATGGGGCACTATTCCTCCCACTGACTAATGATGGGGCACTATTCCTCCCACTGATACCAATGATGGGGTGCTATTCCTCCCACTGACACCAATGATGGGGCATGATTCCTCCCACTGATACAAATGATGAGGCACTATTCCTCCCACTGACACTAATGATGGGGCACTACTTCATCCACTGACACCAATGATGGGGCACTATTCCTCCCACTGACACTAATGATGGGACACTATTCCTCACACACTGACACTACTGATGGGGCACAATTAGTGTCAGTGGGAGGAGTAGTGCCTCATCATTGGTATCAGTGGGAGGAATCATGCCCCATCATTGGTGTCAGTGGGAGGAATAGCACCCCATCATTGGAATACCATACTGAAATACCATACCATATTGAAATCAAATCTGATGTTTTTTCATTTTTATTTAGTGTGCGTTGGAAGAGGGGTAGTCTTATACGGCGAGTATAGCTCAAACCCTATATTTTAACAGGAAAAGTAGGGGGTCATCTTATACGCCCAGTCGTCTTATACGCCGGCAAATACGGTAGTTCTTTCTATGTAGTCTACTTTATATTGGATTCTCCCTCCTCTAAGTTTCATGTTACTGGCTGTGGCTGCTCTCCCCCTTCAGCCACAACAGCAGATAAACTAATTGAGCAGATACTGTAGCTATACTACAGGAGATTACTAGAAACGCATCCTATGGTGTCACAGAAAAGAACACATTTATAGTACAGCGTTGAACCGCTGACAATGTTTTTATGGCTGCTCCTGTGCCAGAGTCGGGAAGTGAGATGAAGTCTCCCTCCAGTGGGGTCGCAGGGACAAGAAGTGAGGGGGAGTCTCCCTCCAATGAGGTCACAGAAACAGGAAGTCAGGGGAAGTATTCTTCTGGTGGGGGTCACAGAAACAGGAAGTGAGGGGCAGTCTCCCTCCGGTGGGGCCACAGAGACAGGAAGTGAGGGGAAGTCTCCCTCTGGTGGGGCCACAGAAACAGGAAGTGAGGAGAAATCTCTCTCCTGTGGGATCACAGGGACAGGTACTATGACATTAGTGTGACTGGTGGGGGGGGGGCTGTGTGACAGGAGGGGGGGTAGTGTGGCAGGTGGTGGGGTGGTGTGGCAAGAGGGGGTTGGTGTGACAGGGAGGGCAGTGTGACAGTTGGAAGGGATGGTGTGACAGGAGGAGGGGCAGTGTGACAGAAGGGAGGGCAGGGTGACAGAAGGAGGGCAGTGTGACAGTTGGAATGGATGGTGTGACAGGAGGAGGGGCAGTTGACAGGAGGGAGGGCAGTGTGACAGGAGGAGGGCAGTGTGACAGTTGGAATGGATGGTGTGACAGGAGGAGGGGCAGTGACAGGAGGGGGGACATTGTGACAGTAGGTGGGGCAGTGTGACAGTTGGAATGGATGGTGTGACAGGAGGGAGGGCAGTGTGACAGTTGGAATGGATGGTGTGACATGAGGAGGGGGACATTGTGACAGGAGGTGGGGCAGTGTGACAGCAGAGGGGGAAGCAGTGTGACAAACGGACACACCATATACTGCTAGGATTAGGGTTGGCACCTCATCCCTTTAAAACCAAACACATATGAATTACACAGGTTCTGAGGCTAATTTATTGCAGGTAAGGCACTAAGTGAGTTTAATTACCACCTTATTCAGCCACAGAACCCGTGTAACTCATATGTGTTCGGGTTTACAGGGATGAGGTGGCAACTCTAGCTGGGATAGTGCTGGGCACAGCTGTAGCAGAGAACCAAAAAGCGGCAGCCAAGTCGGGGCGGAGCTAGGAGGTGGAGCCAGCAGTTGCAGCAACCTCTGGCTGCCAGAAACACATAGAGCAACTGATGCTCTGCATTCTCCTCCCTGCAGCTGATTGCCTGCTTCTTCTCTCCCTCCCACAGGCATTCAGCAGCTGCAAGGAGGAGAGCACAGGGCATTGGTTGCTCTATATGCCACCCGCCGACCCTCTCATCCAGGTCGGCGGGACTGTAGCAGCTGTCAACGGCCAGCCAATGACTGGACAGTTTAGGGAAATGGGCAAAGCCACAGAAACCTAGCGTTTCGCCCAGTCCCCATCCCATTGAGTGGCCCATGACAGCTGCTCTGGTCCTGCCCACCCCTGACATCACCGCTCAGTATTGACAGCTGGCTTTCTCCCACCTCTATCTTCACCAACCCCTGAAAAACTGTTTTATCTGGCTGTGAGAGGAGCACTGAGTCTGTGGTCAGTCTTCCTGTGTCCTAGCTGTATCCTCCTCCTCCAGCCAGTGCAGCCTTTCAGAATGGCCCAGAAAGGCTGTCTTTTTTTGAACCTTGCCACCATGGACGGTTCAGATCGGCGATCTCCAAGTCCTGTTATGCCCACTATAGCAAGCAGGAACTGAAGTACATCCCTGCTTCCTGTGGATAGAACTACAATGAGAAGGGCCAAGACCGGTGGCTGGGGGAATAGGAGGAATAGCAGCCACCATTCTTACAAACAGGAAACTCCTGGGAATTATTGGTTTGATATGAAAATCATCAGGCTATATCAGAGCAACTACTGAGTTTACAAGAAGATGGATGATATATTCAGTGAATGTAGGAAATCAGCAACAAGGACATGTAAAGACGTTTTTACACAAAATTCTGCTTTAAGGTCATGGAGTGGCCTAGCCAGTCTCCAGACCTTAATCCTATAGAAAATTTATGGAAGGAGCTGAAACTTCGAGTTGCAAAGTGACAGCCAAAAAACATTAAGGATTTATAATAGATCTGTAAAGAAGAGTGGACCAAAATCCCTCCTAAGATATGTGCAAACTGGTAACCTACTGCAAGAAACGTCTTACCTCTGTGCTTGTCAACAAGGGTTTCTCCAGCAAGTACTAAGTCATGTTTTGTTTGGGGAGCAAATAATTATTTTACTCACTGAACTGCAACTCAATTTATAACATTTGTATCACGTGTTTTTTTCTGGATTTTTGGTTGATATTCTGTTTCTATCATTTAAAATACACCTATAATAACCATTATAGGTCCTTAATTTCTTTGTAAGTGGGCAAACTTACAAATTCTGCAGGGAATCAAATAATTATTTTCCCCACTGTATATCCAAGATGGCAGCATTGGGAATCTGTGTCATATTTTATTTCAATATAATTTTGCAAAGGCCTTTTTTAACTTTTTAATTTGGGGTTAGCAGCAGAATCTGTTAATGATCAAAAAATAATTTTCCCCACTGTAGGAACCAGTGGTGACTTCCTACTTAATCACAGCTAGCTGCCTACTGTGCATGTGCAAGATCTTGCAGCACTGTGTGGCTGGTCCTGCAGCCTCCTGGGATGTGTGTGTCCATAAAGGAAAAAATATCTAATGTGTTAGGGTTGAGGAGAAGAAATAATGGCACTTTCACTTTGAAGACAGGTTGTATTCAGAAAGACAGCTGTAAGTGGACACCTACCAGTGTAGCATTCCACTGGCCACCAATACCAGGGCACACCTGGTTCAGTTACAAGAGGCATACATCCTCTCCCTGACCACAGTTACTGAAGCATTCTTCCCACTAACAATTCAAGGAACATGCTTATTTCCGCTGATACCAATGTACTGTAAGTGGCATTCTTCCTCCCACTGATCACCAATGTAAGGGGGACAATTTTCCTCCCACTGACCACCAATGTAATGGGCATTCTTCCTGACAATAACCACTAATGTACGGGCATTCTAACTGACACCAATATAAAGATATTACTCCTCCAACTAACCACTAATGTACAGAACATTATTCCTCGAAATGACCAACAATTTAAGGGGCATTCTACCCCCTGACACCAATGAAATATTACATTTTCCCTTCCACTAACCACCAACATAATGGGAAATTCATCCTCCCACTGACCCTGCATTTATTGAGCCTTCTTCCTTCCACTAACCACCAATATAAGGGGCATTCTTCCAGCCACTGACCACTAATGTAAGGAGCGTTCCTCAAACTGACACCATTGTAACAGGAATTCTTCCTCCACTAACCACCAATGTAATGGTAAAGTCATCCTGCAACTGACCATCAATGTGTTGGGCTTTCTTCCTTCCACTGACCTCCAGTGTAAGGGGCATTCTTTAAGCCACTGACCACTAATGTAAAGAGCATTCCTCAAACTGACATCATTGCAAGAGGCATTCTTCCTCCCACTGACCACCAGTTTAATTGGAAATTCATCCTCCCACTGACTATCAATGTTTTGAGCCTTCCACTGACCACCAATGTAAGGGACATCATCCCTCCCACTGACCACTAATATAAGGGGCATTCTTTCCTTATTGACACCAATGTCAGGGGCATCTTCATCTCACTGGCCACCAATATTAAGGACATTCATCCAACTGACACCATTGTAAAGGGCACTATTCCTCCCACTGACCACCATTTTTCCTTCCACTGACCACCAATATAAGGGACATTCTTCCAATGACACCAATGTAAGGGGTATTCTTCTTCCCACTGAGCAGCAGTATAAAGGAACAGTTTTCCACCCACTGACACCAATGTAAGGGACATTCTTTCACACACTCACACCAATATAAAAGGCATGTTGTATGTCCGGTGAAAACAGGTTTTTTTTTATCTCCTACAAATCAAGGAATAGTAAATTACAACCCTCATGCTGAGCTTTTACACTAAACACACTTGCTTTTTTCTACAACTAACCTGAAAGTTTTCTTTGATCCTTGTGGAATTAAAGCTTTTTGCCAGGACAACAACTCCAAGCTGAAGAAGGAACCTTAGGGCCACCTGAGCTGGTGACTTGTTGTGTTTCTTGGCTATGGTTACCAAAGCCAGATCCTCCAGGACAACCGGAGCATTCTGATCAATCCTAAAAAAATATTTACAATAACACAAACCTTATTTCTTTTTCCCTGGTAGCAGCTCATATACAACCTCCAATAGCTTAGCAGCAAATTCAGTACAAAGAAGACATCCTATAAGGGGTTAGCCTGCTTAAAATAATTTTGGTTCTTAAAGTGTACATCAAGCAAACTGTTGTCTTGTGTTAGAGAAGAGAAATGAGAGAAAGAGATAGAGTGAGTAATGATTTGAACTCTTGTCATGGTACTACTGCATTGCTGTTCTATTGACAACCGTTTCACTAGACAGGAAGAAGGGGAACAATCTACAACATCCTTTTTCCTACTCTACTATAGAAGAGAAATTTTATTTGTGTTTGTGTTGCTACTAAAAAATGTGTTTCACTTCCTGTCTGGTAAAATGTATCCAATAGGACAAGAAGTCAGGCTAAATCTCCCTGAGTGCTGGATAGCAGTAAACACATGACAGGGAATGTAATGCTTCCCCACTTATGAGGCGGCAGCATTTTGAAGTA